AACAATTTAGTATTGTTATTAATTTGTTCTCCTGTCTTTTTCCCAACAGAAAAAATTGGAAAGCCTCAAAAGTTTAGACTTGTTCAACTGTGAGGTGACAAACCTGAATGACTACAGAGAAAATGTTTTCAAGCTGCTCCCTCAGTTGACGTACCTCGACGGCTATGACAAAGAGGATAAAGAAGCACCCGACTCTGACGCCGAAGCTTACGTCGAAGGCCTAGATGATGATGAGGATGATGAAGATGGTATGTTTGTGAAGAGTCTGACTGACAGTGCTTTGAGGTTTCTCAGTTTTTTAAATTGAGATCAAGGAATTAATTTGTCATTGACCTAATTTTGTCTGCAGAGGGAGAAGAGGAGGAGTATGATGAAGATGCAGCTCCAGGAGATGAAGATGAAGAGGAGGGAGAGGAGGATGATGAGGAAGAGGAGGAAGAAGAGGACATCAGCGGAGAGGTTAATGCCGGAAAATAATGATTATTCCTCTTATATTTACAAATATAGTACATGGTGTCAATTTGTGCCTTTTTCGCACACTTTTAGGAAGAGGAGGAGGAAGAGTTAAATGACGGCGAGGTAGATGATGAGGAAGACATTGGTAAGTGAATAGATGAAGTGTTTGTAAAGTTCGAAGGGTTACCAGCACCTGTTGAATGCTGGTAAGCAGGGTGAGAGTAAGAGTAAACAAAACATCTGGTATCTCCTGTGTTGTGTTTACAGAGGAGGAGCGGGGTCAGAAGAGGAAAAGAGAGCTGGATGAGGAAGGGGAGGAAGATGATGACTGAACATGCACTCCCCCTATTGTGATCTGACCGTTTAACCCCTGTATATCTGTCCTATTGTCACTCTGCGATGGTTTGGGGAGGTTTTCAAATGGTAGGGGGTGGGTTAGTATAAAGATTAAATATTTGTTTTTAGCTTTTTTGTTGTTGATGTTGTTGTTGTTTTCTTTTGGTTTGGTTTGTACTTTCAGTTTGATTCCCTTCATTTTCGCCAAAAGTTCTTCAAATGGCTGACAACACCGTGTGGAAAATTATTATTGTTGGAAAAAAAAGACCAGTATGCTCTTGTAATTTTCCCCTTGTCTTTACTGTTGATGCCTAAATGCTGGTGATGACTTATGTATTAAAAAAGAAAAAACAACCAAAAACCTTTTAGAAGTGCATGGCTGACTCTATTTTAAAGTTGACTACTGGATTTCAAGGAAGAACATTTTCTAACCCACTTTTTTATTGCATCTTTTATTTGTGTATTTTGTTTCTTTGGTGTTTTCATCACCGCCACCACCACGTGACGTGCTGTTTAGGCATGAAGAATGCATCATGATGTCTGCTTGGACATGCACGGCACAACCTCTCAATGTGATTTTAATTTTAATTTTATTTTTTAATGTTCAGAGCCGAATGTCTGCCCTTGTCAAATGAGCCCTAAACCCCTTCTCCCTTTTGTGTGGATAGTTCAGAGGTTTTGTGTTCTTTGTAAATAATGACCAAATATATTTTTTTTCTGATTCCCTTTGATAATGGCAGACATTTTCACAAATAATCTCAGTTGTAACCATTAACTGTAATAAAATGAATGAAAACGCAACGGGCTCTATGGTAGTTTGAAGTTCTCTGTTCTGACAGCCACAGAAAATCCACACATTGTAATTGGATGTGATTACATACTTGATCAACAAGTTATGTATTTGAAGTCTTGTGCAGAGATGGCAAGTGTATATGACCTCGCCACTGATATAGCGGGTTAATTGAATATATGAAGTGAAATTGCATTGTGAAGCTCAGGGAAAATAGCTTGTTTTTTTTTGATGATACGTGACTGAATATTGTGTAAATATTCAGAAGCATCATGCCAATTTAAATAGAACACATATGCAATTTTAACTGAGCTGTGTCCAGTTGTCAGGTCATACTGATTGAAATTTTTATTAAAAAGATGACTTCAGATTTCACATGAATAAAAGTCAGCATTTTTGTTCCAATTAATATTTACTGTACAAGCATGTGCCTTGCTAACATGAGCATGAAAGCATTGCGTATAGTGTAACAGGTGTTTCTTATGATCCGTGTGGACAGATTGCCAGTTTGTGAGCGTGAGATCATAAGGTAAATTGAGCTAGTCTCAGTCTAGACAGATTTGATGTACCATTTGAGTAAATTCGGCTCCACACATTACAGGATTCTTTCTCGGGAAGAGGTTTTTACTTTGTATGCAATTACCTTTTGTGCAACATGCTGTAGTTAGTTAATCATAATGAAGTGAAATACAGAGTAGTGATAACCTATTAATGCTCTTCATTTTAATCAAAGACAAAGGTTAGTCTAATGTCTTGCCTCATAATTCTTTAGGCACTGTCAGCACGAAATATTTCAACATTAATTGTGCTTGTGTAGGCAGTGAGCGACTTATCTAACACCAAATGAAAGGGGCCTGAGTAAAACATAAATATTCTGGCACTTCACACTGTGAACAAATTAATATCCACCTCAACATCTTCAATGATGCACAATTATCAGGCATACGATTTGGAATGTAGCTACAGGCCACATAAACAACCTGTTCCTCAGTTTGGCCCATTTAAGTAGGCCTATTGTTATTATTACCCAGTGTTCCTTAAAGGGATAGTTCACCTTCAGTTGCTGGTTCCTATTGACTTCCATAGTATGGAAAAAAAACACTAAGTCAATGGAGACCAGCAACTAAAGGTGAACTATCCCTTTAAGCAGTACTGCTTGTGTCTGAACTGCTCTTTATCATGTTAAGAGGATGCTGTGTAGTCTGTTTCATGGCAAGTGTAGGCCTTGCTGTAGTACGTGCTGACATGAGCAAGACTGTGGCTTTACCGCCCCCTAATGTCCGAATACCTAAAGTGCACTTTACCTCAAAACGCGCTATTACTATGCAATGACAAAGCAGAAGATGCTGGGGTTTGTGTTATTGTTTTATGAAGCAAAATATTTACAATGTTTGAGGCTCATAGTGTTTTCATTAAACAGCAGGAAAATGTCAAACACACAATGTCTGAATTCAGAGGTGGACCGACTTTGCTTTCCGTGCTGGTCGAGCGATCATTAGTTCATTTGGGAATCAGATTATAAATATATTTTAAAAGGGATAACATGTTAACACATTAGCTCATAGGTGCTCCAGTAAATGTGCCGTCCAAATTTTTTATTTTTTTTGAGCTGGTCCAGTTTGTTCTGGGCAAAATCAATGTTTTAAATCATAATTAATAGGGTAACTTCTAGAGAGCAGCGCGCACTGAAGAGAGAGCGTGACTGCACCTGTAGTGTTTCGTGGCGCATAATGTATTTGCCTGCAAAGAATTTGTCCACTTTACAATAAAAAATTTGAAAGGGTTTACACTGAAAGTTCAAAGCTGAATACAATGCACTTTATAAGAGTTTACATCCAATCTAAGAAGCTATTTAAGAGGTCAATAATCTGAATGTAACAGGACGATAAGGCTACAGTAAATTCATGGTTACAAGCTACAAACCTGAAAACTCAAGACACTTTACTTAAAAGTATGAACTGAAAATGGAAATCAATAAATATGTTTGATTTAAAATTTAATAAAAAAGTAAAATTATGCTTTATAAATCACAGTAAGTCTTTAAAATTAAATATTGCCATTCATTCAACTTTCAGAATCAAAAAATGTAACAATTTCTGTGTCTCATTCTTTAAGTCGTTGAACGTTCTTTTTCTCACGTTCTCTTCAAAATTGACTTTCCTACGGAACTACAGTGTAGGTCTCTAATACGACGTCTATTACTAATTCATTTCATAATTGCATTTTACAATTTGTGGACTTTTATGTTTTCATCAGGTGCAAAGTGTGATTTTTCAAAATTAATTATGAAATTATTCTGAACTTTATTTAACTTAAAAACCCATTTGAATTGCGTTCATAAACTGACTTGAACATATTTCACATAAATTATGTGAAGCAACACAGTCCCCAACTTATATTAGTAAAACCCAATACTTCTAGATTTAGGAGCATGTCAATTCGATAAATATCATCTGTGGTGTAAGATTACTGCACTGTGGTGTTTGAGTTTCTACATTAAAACAGCACTGTTGGTCATATAAAAATAATGCAATAGACCTAGTGTTTACATGAGATAACAGCTTGATGGGTGAAGCATGTCTGTTTGACCTTATTAAAACACGTTTATTCTCTACATGGAGATTATTAAGCTATTTAGAACAAGGCTAAGTAGCACAAAGAAAAAAAATGAAATAAATAATTCTAATAATTCAATCTAGTGAAGTCTACAATAATGAGATGATAATGCAATGAGTAGCTTGTACCAAAACCAATCCATATAGAGAGAATCAGTCCACTGCAGGTGGACCAACAGTGTGACTGAAGCTCATGTAATGGGACAGTTTTCACAGGGTTAGTGAATCATCACTCCAATAAAGTCGACTTAGCACACAGCAACTGTGGGGTCAACACTGGAGGTCAGAGTGAAACACTGCTTTATGAAGACAAGCGCTTGCTCTCCTGAGGTCTTGGTTTTAGGAAAAGGAAGCCCGTGTGTTTCAGCAGCGCTCAGGGCTTATAGTGTGTCACTTTAGGAGATCAAAAGACACAGCACAGATCCAGTGTCAAATGCTGCTACCATTGCTGCTGCTGTTGTTATTGTTGTTGATGTTTGGGCTGTTCCTTATGTTATTGAGCTCCAGCTCAAGCTGTCGAATCTTAATGTCCTTCTGCGTAACTTCATCCTTCAGTCGCCGCAATTCCTCCTGCTGCCTGAAGAACATCCGCAAGAGCTGTAGAGCATAAAGCACAGGGTTACACACATATAAACACCTCTCATCTATAAACTGTATCTGCCAAACTGTCCTTATAACAACCATAATAAATCTCAACAGAATCGTGGTAACACCTCATTCTCTGTACGGGGAGGCACGTTTTCTAGCAGGTCAATCCCATTGACCACTCCACCCTTCTTGTCCTTCACAGGGGCCTTGAACACCAGTTTGTTTGCTCTGTTGTAGCCCTCTTTTAAAGACATGAGCACTGGACCTAGACCATTGTGCGCATGCAGACATGGATTCGTTTTATTTCAGCATTTGTCTTTTCAAATATTTTTATTCTGAAAATAACTGCAGGTCTTTACCTCGGTTGATTCCACTGAGCCACTCATCAGCAGACAGAGCAGGTTCTGTCCCAGGAGTCATGGGATAAATGTCCTCCTGATATGTCTCTGACTGCAAAGAAAGAAGGTTTTCATTTACTGTTATTTTTATAGTTAGATTTAAGACCTTCATTAGTATTTGGTGATGTGTTAGGCTCTGGGCAGGTAAATGTTGAGTCTAAACTAATATGTGGAATCCAGAGGCTCACAGAAAGAGCACTATTATCACTGTGTTCATTGTGCAGAACACTAAGGGATGCTCCAGGATGTGTAATTAGTGTACTGTGAGAAACTATGGATGAAAAGGTAACTCAGTATCTGAGTGAAAATAATCGCAGGTATTCAGGGACTTATTCTTACAGGTTCATGAGGGTTTGCTGAATTCCAAGGCTTCTGCTACAAATAAAGCAAAATGACTAATGTTTTGGCTATGAGTAAAACTAGACGTTTTCAATAATTTCAATGTCTGCAACCTCCAGATATGATGATTTCCTTCCTAAATTATAAAGGCAGCTAAAAGTACAAAGAATATGTATTGTGTGATAAATAAATGAAATAAAATAGTACGTGTTGTTTCCCAAATTAAATTATAGTAATATTAATTTTATATTTGGTTTGCAAATTCCCTAAAATAAAAAATAAGAATACTATTGAAATATTACAATATTAAACATTAAATTAATATTTACGTTCACTGCGTATTTTTTTTCTACCAAATATTAGAGAAACATTTTTAATTTACATTTATTTGTATAACACATAAATACATAAATATAATTTCAAAGCATCTTTCCAGAAAATAGTTCCATAAAAATGTCAAGTTAAAGGCAACAGTGCTAAAAAAACAGATATAACACAAATAAATACAATTCTTGAACATATGTATGTTGCAAGGAAAGAAAAATATATGCATATAATATGCATAACTATATTCATACAGTTAAATACGCTGTAATTTTATTCCTCCCAAATTTACAGAACACCCTCGTCGCGTCCTGATTTTAAAACCCCTTGGTTAAACTGTTGGCTGGGCAACATCTGATTCGCCCTCTATCATGAAAGATCGATATGGATTGATAGGTATCAGGACCCTTTGCACTGAAACAGAGCTGGCGCTGGATTTATTTGGGTGTGTTGTAAAATTGTGGTGTTGGTAGGAGGCTGCCCCTCCCACTGTTTTTAAAGCCTTCTGATAATGGGCCAACCTGCCACTGCCCATTGTGTACAGAGTACAAAACACACGTGCTGTATCTCACATGGAGGTTATTACATGGCTCACTACTCTCGTCTCACTGAGGCGGCAGTTACACCAGCAACAAACAGCTGATGGATTCCTCCATCCTTTCAGACTGCTTGCTTAAAAAAAGCCATTTTGGCAGGATACTCAACTATAGGCCTCACACAAGGGATGTGTCTAGCACAGGGGTGTCCGAACTCGGTCCTGAAGCTCTTACTAGGCATACTAGGAACTTCCCGGCAGGTGTGTTGAGGCAAGTTGGAGCTAAACTCTGCAGGACACCGGCCCTCCAGGACTGAGTTTGGGCACCCCTGGTCTAGCACAAATTTTTCTTCATCCTTCAGTGGAACTCTAAATGATTCATTTAACTGGGAACCATGGACTGTGATCTAATAGCTTCATGGTGCTTATGCTCACCCTTCTAGGCACAATCATAGAGATTGGCTCAATCAGGCCCTTTAGAGTGACCAGCTTATAAAACCTGAAGACTTCACACGCTCCTACATCCAGCCCATGCTTCGGCATCACTCCTATCAGAATACACATATGAGAGAGGAACATATGAGAAGTTTAACATTAGACACTGGTAATTGGCATGCTTTGTTGGTTTTGTCTTGATATTGAACAGACCATAACACAACACAGAGTCCTACTGAGAAAATAAAAGTGCTAAGATTATACATACAAAATTCCAGGTTTAACCCTAGACTGCATAAAGACATGAAGTCAAATGACTTGATAGGGTGTGATTTTTGGAATATTTTGTTAATTCGAAAATTAAGATAAAACAAGGATGCCTTTCCATGAAGAAAACCACCAAATCCAATATGGGCCATTCTGACCCCCTTTATCAATCTGTGAAGGTTGTTTTGGTTTCTGTATTGGGTTTTTTGCATTCTAGGGTTAATTTAGAAAGTTTCCTACACCATTTTACAGATGTTGCTGGTGTAGTGTGATCATCAAAGGGTGTGGATTCAGCTTTACCGAGCCCTTTCTGTGGTGCAGGGGACCTGAACTCCATGAGATACTGCAGGTAGGGTTTCTCCAGGGTGATCTCGTAGTACCGGATGTTCCCATCACCCTGCAATTACACTGTCGAAGTCAGTTCAAAGACAATTACAGTTTTTTTCTAAGGTGATTATTTGTGATGGCAGTTCAAGCAACTCAACGTATGATGCCCTATAATGTCTTTTCAGTATATAACTGAAAAATAATATTTATATATCTAATATATTTCTAAATATACACTACCATTCAGCAGTTTGTGGTTGGGATTTGTTAAAATGTTTTAATGTTTTTGAAAGTAGTCTCTCATGCTCACCAAGGCTTAAAACACGATCAAAAGTAATAATGTGAGATATTATTACAATTTCAAATATTGTAATAAAAGTTTTCTATTTGAATTAGTGCTGTCAAATGATTAATCGCGATTAAGCGCATCCAAAATAAAAGTTTTTGTTTACATAATAGATGTGTGTAGTGTATATTTATTATGTATATATAAATACACACACATGCATCATGTAAATATTTAAGAAAATTGTTTTGTTTATATATAAAATATTACTATTTATATATAAGTTATATTTGAATATATATATATATATGTATATATTTGTAAAATATATACATGTACTGTATGTTTGTGTATTTATATATACATAAGAAATATACACAGTACACACACATATATTTTGTAAACAACAACTTTTATTTTGGATGCGATTAATCGTGATTAATTGTTTGACAGCACTAATTGAAATACATTTTAAATTGTTTCTTTCTGTGATGGCAAAGCTGAATTTTCAGCATCATTACCCTGATTTGAGAAAGGGGATTTTAAAATAGGGATTAAAAAAAAAAACACTGGGTGGATTTTTATCATTATAGGGTGGATGTGTACACACACTGCCAACACACATTTATGTTCAAACAACAACAAAAGTGAATTTTGCATCCGATGACCCCTTTAAATTTGATGTTTTCATTTTATAGCACATATTACTGAATTAAAGAATTTCAAATTGTTACAAAAGATTTCATTTAAAAAAGGTCAAGGTACGCACATCCAAAGCGTCTTGGCCAGGTGCAAGATCAAAAATTACATCAAATAATACAAAAAAGATCTGCAAACTGTAATTCTCACTTTATTTAGAAAAAGTTAAAATGGCCACTTTTAACTTTTTCTAACTAAAGGGAGAATAACAGTGTGCAGATCTCTTTTGTATTATTTACAAAAGATTGAATTACCTTATAGTCATAGCCAGCACTGAAGAGAATCCCACTAGTGGTTGGGTGCCACTCTATGAGACCCACACGCCTGCTGTGGCCATACAGTTCTAATACAGACTCTGTCAAATTCCTCCTCAGTCCACCATCAGGAATCTCCCATATTCGCACCTGACACATTCACATTCACATGCAAATGCAAATAGCACTTTTGAATTAATAGCACAATTTTAAAAAGCAGTTTTAAACTCTAATATCAGGTTAGTTATTAATCTATAACTTCATAAATGGTTAGTCTCGAATGACAGATACAACATAAGACATATACTGAAGCATTACAGTGATCAAGTATTCCTGAGAGCCATCTAATCATCATCATTATCATCATATGTTTTCACCTGCTCTATCCCTACTTTGATTTTGAGCAAGGCATTTTGGGCATCTTTCTGAGTGTGTGTGTGTGTGTGTTTAACATTTATTCTTTAATTTATATCATTCTAAATATAATTATAATTTCATTTCTTTTATACTTACATTATTATTATTTACAGAGTTAATTAATATGATTTCTGTAAAACAAACTTACACACATGAAACTGACATTAAATGTTTATGCCTTTCCTTATATATAGGTTTAATAAACAGTTTCTATTTAAGTGATATTTTTGGTTCTGTTCGACAGAATAATGTTTCAGGTTCATGTGTTGGTAAAAATTCTTCCACAACCATGCACATCATGAAAAGTAAATGCTGGTTTTCTATTTATGAAATCAAAAATAAACCAACAACTGAAACAAGTTTTCATTGCACAGAAAGAGGTTTCCCCAGATTATTTAAATGATGCTGACTAATTTGACCATTGTGATTTTGCATTTTAGGTTTACTCACAGAAGAGTCCTCTGAACAAGAAGCGATTATGTTTTCATGGAAAGGATTCCATTTGATGTCCAGCACGTTTCCTTGGTGACCGCAGACCTTTGGATAGTGAGGGTCGATACGGCCAAACTGCAAGAAAGAAGTAAAGGTTACCGATCTAATGTCCCCCCATGTGACTAAGGATATAAACAAAAGAATGTATGGACAAACATAAAAAGATTTTAAAAAATATATATACATATGGATAGTTGAAAACATTCACATTTTTATGAGATGTCTGATATATGTTTATACAATCTGACAATATCACACCTGCACAAATACAGCTCCATTGTAATACACACAAACGTCCACTGTGTGGCGCTACATAACTACAGTCATACAATCAGTAGTAGACAGAACGTTAGTCATGATGTCATGAATGTTTGATGTCACTTTAGTCCATTGACCTCCTTCTGAGGTCCTGTGGGATTTGTAGTTCAGCTCATGCGTGAGCGCACCCTGAGTGGTCTGCTTAAAGACTCTTCATCTATAGGTCAGGCCTTCAATACAATGCAGTGAGATAGTACTGAAAGTGACGTGACATGTGGCCAAGTATGGTGACCCATACTTGGAATTAGTGCTCTGCATTTAACCCATCCAAAGTGCACACACACAGCACTGAACACACACACACCGTGAACACACACCCGGATGCTGCAGCGCCCGGGGAGCAGTTGGGGGTTCGGTGCCTTGCTCAAGGGCACCTCAGTCGTGGTATTGAAGGTGGGAGAGAGCGCTGTACATTCACTCCCCCCACCTACAATCCCTGCCGGTACGAGACTCTAACCCGCAACCTTTGGGTTACGAGTCTGACTCTCTAACCATTAGGCCACGACATGATGGTGCTGGTGCTCTGAGAAGAGTCACAGTGATGCTCTATCAGAGGAGTCATTTCATTGTTGAAAAAATGTTGTATGCTTAGTCAAGAAAGATGAAAAAGCAAAAGCAGCTTGATATTGATGCATGTTGCTTTTTGGTAGCATACATGAAAGCAATGAACTCGTGACTGTCTCAAATTTTCTCTGTCCCCATGGCTGTGCTCTCTGTGCTATTCTCCAAGATTAGCATGATGGAAATCATGTCTGTGATTTGCTCTGTGTTAGATTATTGCATTAATTTAGCACTGTGATTGCTTGAGGGCTGTTCATTTAATAGAATTTTTCCTTGATTTCCCACAGGAGATCAAAACTCAAAAGAACACAGAAAACATGACCAATTATAAAATAGCAAAGCTTTTACTACTGTGACCAAAGCACTCAGTTACACTTGTTCAAATGTTTGCATACATGTGAGGATTTCTGATTTGTCAAGGTGTTTTCCAAGACTACATATAGGCTAGCTCTTAGACTCATCCTTTGCTTATTCATACAAACAATTCAAATCAAAAAGCAAATTTATTAGATTAGAAACAAAACAACTTATACAAACAGGGCATAACTAAAGGCACAGCAGCCAAAGAATAAAAATATAAAACACATACATACATAAATAAATAAAGTGACTTTAAAGTATTACTTTATCAAAACTACTAACATTATTAGTTGACCTCTGGGGAATAAGTAAATAAATAACTAAAGGTATAATATGACCGCTTTAACAATCTTTTAATTGCATTTGCCAAAGTGTTGAAATGAGATGCTTTTTCTTCTTACAGCTATTTCTCAGTTTCCTCTCTCCAATTATTATTTTTTTTTAATTCTTGCTTATTGTTATTCTTTGTGCAACATAGTTATGGATTTGTGTGTAGGAGTGTGTTGGCGGTGGGCGGTAGTTGACACAGATGTGTTGGCTGCAGATCAGGCTGAGTAGTCGCTGTCTGAGATCTTACAGTCAGAGACAAAAGGAGATAATATATTTAGCCACACCCTCTATTGTGAGCAACACAATGATGCGTGAGGAACAGCCATTTGATTACACTAATTATGATGTCATTGGATGTGCCTCTCTGATAGACATTCTTGTAAAAAAAAAAAAAAAGTGGTGTTTTCTTAGAGGACAAATTTAACATCCTTAGCAGAGAAGTTATATGGCTTCAATTAGTGTCACATGAATATCTACATCTAAATATTAAGTCAATACAACATTATTATGGGACAGTCCAGAGTATGCTATATCAGTGTCTATTGTATACAGGTTTAGAAGTTCAGGTTTGATTATGATGCTATTATGTTTATGAATCCTAATCACACCCTAAACACATTTCTGAATACACATTATCATTTTACTCTCTAAATAAATATGCTAAATACAATAACGAATGAGTAATGACTCATTAGACCTGTACTAGAACTTAAAAGGCAGAAACTATTTTTCTAAATGTTAAATGCAGCAAACATAATTTCCTCTCATGTTTATAACAGTATAACAAAGTATTTACTTTTTTAACCAAGAGAAATGTAAACCTGCCTGCACATACTGTATATGCAAAATGATAGCATATTATAAAATGATCATTTTTTGCTAATTAATAAATTATTTGCGACAAACTGATGATAGGCAGAGCCTAACAAATGATTATTATTCTGTTGTAGATATTCAGAGACAGCAGGAGGAGTATGGAGTTTTACACGATACATAGTCAGAACATGACTGGCTTTTCTAAAGCCTGTTCAAAATGATCCTGCATTCTTCTAACATTTTACATGGTTTCTGAACAAAATTCTAAACAAAGGGCATTACAGTTTCTGACTTTACTGTATGCTAACTGAGGCATTATAAAAATGGGTGTGTGTCTAGTAAAAAGCACTTTTGGCCATGTTAGTCTGAACTGGATGGCAGTTTCCTATCAGTGTTGCCAGACGGCCTAACTCCCTTTTATGTGTGTGTGTGTGTGTGTGTGTGTGTGTGTGTGTGTGTGTGTGTGTGTGTGCACTGAAAAAAATGATTCATTGAATTTACTCAGTTTTTTTAAGGCAAGTGGTTGCAATCAATTTATTTGAGATAAATTTAAACAAACAAATTTAATTGATTAACTTTCAACATGTTTTTATTTTTTAAATGTAGCTAAAATAAATTGTTTGCAACCACTTACCTTAAAAAAATGTAGTATCATTTTTTTCAGTGTGTATAACTGTGTGCCTGCCGGCTTGAGCCTGCATTATTTTAAGAATTCTGATATCATCCCATACCATTACAGCCCCACCTCACACATTATCTTTCACAGAAGTTTCTGTCAACAGCAGCTTAGCAGGTCAAGGAAAGGAACGAGTTCATTTCCAAATGGTTAAACAGTTAATGATGACATCATCGCGAAACCAGTCTTCTATTCATGCTCTTTTTTTTCTCTTTTCCTGGGCCATCTCATTGTAATGAGGGTGAGGCGGAAGCCGAGGAAGAATCCATATGCGGATGTTTATTGAAGCAGTCCAACAAAACCAAACTCAGGGTCAGTAAAAACAGGCAATGAGGTCAAAAACACAGTAAGGCAGTCCAACCAGGCAAACAGGCAAAAGGGGTAATCCAAAAGAGAAGTCAAAACAAACAGATAAACAGGTCATACACGTGGTAAGAAGGCAGAGATACAAACGCTTGGTAAGGCAGGATAAACTGGCAATACTTCGCAAAGTAGTCATGTGGTGGCCAGGTTAATATGGCCACTAAACAGGAAGTGGTTGCAGAGAAAGCAGAGGGAGTGCTAACAGTCAATACTCGGGCGAGGGCTCCCTCTGCTGGCTTGGTGTTACAGAACCCCACCTCTAGGAGCGACTCCTGGCACTCTGCGTGGGTGTCCCCGTGGTCGTGGTGCTGGACGGTCAGGCCTGGCTCGATGAAATTCCTCTATGAGTGAGGGGTCCAGTATATCGGAAGCAGGTATCCATGATCTCTCCTCAGGTCCGTATCCCTCCCAGTCCACCAGGTATTGAAGCCGACCCCCTCTACGCCTCGAGTCCAGCAGCATGTTCACCTTATAAGCTGGCGATCCGTCAATGTCCAGCGGAGGCGGTGGCTCTTGGGACTCAGCGTTGGGGTCAGCATTCGGGTGGACCGGTTTGAGGAGCGAGACATGAAATGGAGAGATGCGGTAGTTAGCAGGAAGCTCAAGCTGATATGTAACCTCATTTATCTGTTTTAAGATTTTGAATGGGCCAACATACCTTGGGCTGAGCTTCCTGCTC